CATTGCTACATCAGGCTTCAGCAGCCACAGCTGCATTCACAGGTACACTTACCCCCTCACTGAGACCCCACCCCACCTCCCCAGCCTGTAGAACAATACCCGAACACACAGTTGATGATTGATGAACTAACAGACAAGCTTTGAGCTAGAAAGCAGCGTTGTGTTACTTGATGTATTCAACGCAATCTTATTTTGCTTTTCTTCTTTGCACACACAACTGTTTTCTTACTATTGCAGACTTGTTCAAACATCGCAGGAGAAAGAAGCCGCATCATTCATTCACTGCTTGTGAACCACCGCACACATGTATTTGCTGAAGCACAAAATAGAAAGCAACAAAAAAAATAAATACACTTAGACTTTTGTTTTCTGTCAGAGTAACAAACTGATGAGAGAACAATTATTGTTGGGATGTTTATCACAATCGCGTGCGTTGGACCAATGAACTCCAGGGTCTACCACATCAGCTATGATTGCTTTCTTTTAGCTTCTGCAAAGATACAATATAGATGATACCAGGCGGCAGCAAGGTGTCCCTGGATAAATAAGCACGTAGTTTGTCCATGGAATATCATAATCGAGTGGTTGAGGGAACATCTGTGGTGAGTAAAGGTTCAAAGCCCCTGGGTCAAAATGAGACGTACCTTAAAAGGTTGTGACTAGAAATGTTCCGATCGATCGGCCGCCGATCATGAACGGACAATTTTTGTTAAAAAGTATGTGATCAATTTCGTTCCACCACATGCACTACATGTGGTGGAACGAAATTGTGTACACAGGGTCCCAATTACATGTCCCAGTTACGAATGAAAAGGTTAAATTCTTGCAATATTTTCAGATCAGGACTCGTGGAATAACCAACCAATCACTGTTGATCACAGACAGATGCAATATTGATGGACACCCCAATTCTAAACAGCAGCAAAATAAAAATTAACTAGCAGCAGGAAATTTATTGAAAATGGCTAAAAAAAAAAACAACAAGTAGAAAACATTCAGAAATTGATGCCAGCCGTAAAATGGGGTTAAACAGAGGGATTGAGGTTGTTGTTTAATATTTCAAGAATATAATTTGAGGTTTGTGTCCAGAAAAGCAAAGGCCTTGAAACCTGTAGCCTAAGGTGGTACCTCAGCGGACTGTAGCTGGTGAACAGCATTAACGAGGCCGTTTCCCCAACGTCCTGCAACTTTTAAAAGATTCTCAACATATTCATGTGAATCATAAAAACACAGATCTTTGCTTGAGTTTTGAACGCGTTAAAAAAATCTTGTGCAACAACATATCTCTTGAAATTGCCACAGTCTTTCTGGGAGTCTCCATCTTGACTGCAACCCATCTGAATTTTGCCACTGGCGTCTCCAGTCAAGAGCGCACGAGCTGCATTTGGACACTTTCGTGAGAGTTCTGCTTTGATTTTTTTATTTTTTTTTAAAGGGCAAATATCCCGGTGTAAATAATAAATAAATAAAACAACGATGCTTAAAAATAATTTGGGAAAAACTGTTTCAAATCTTCATTTTATAAGTATACTCCAGTACATTAAATCATAAAAGTGGGGGCTGCTGCCAAGGTGGAATCAAAGCCTGCTGAGGAGGGGATAAATGGGAAATAAAATAATGCACACGGCCAAGAACGTAGTTTTTCAAATTGTACACATAAAAGTAGGCAATGATTCTCATGGCAGCTCAAAATATGGCGGCGTGCCTCCATGGTCAGTTGGTCACAAACACTCAGATTAAAGCTGGAAGTTCAGATTTTTTTCTCACAATCTTCCTGCACATTTATGGATTTTGTTTTGCATCTAGTCTCCCAACAGATCAGCTCAGTAAAACATCACCTTTAGCCAAAGTGTGCAAGAAAATGGCTACAGTATGGAATACTTCTATTTAAACTTAGGTGAAGATTTTGAGCTTTGTAAGACCATACTTCAGTCTATCAATTCCTAACCTTTTGTGTTTTGGTTTGAATGTTGTGGCCACTTTTTTTATCACGGTGTATTTCCACTCATCTTCCCTTACTGCTGTCACTGTCTACAACCATGGCAACAGCCAAAGACTTTCCAGGGCCTTCGACAGGTAAATATTCAAGTAAATGATCATTGCAAGCCAAATTTAGTGTGTGTGATGCTGGATCTGGCTCCGGGTCAGGACACATCATGGCCTCACCCTGCATGAGCCAAATCATCAACATGCATGGATGCTCACTCTGTTGACACCAGATGCTTTCTCTCCAGCCATGTCACGGACTGCATAAGTTATCACACGACGTGTTTTTATTTGAGTTTGCCATTGTCAAATGAAATGGATGGTTCCGTTTCAAATAAACTGAACTGAATATAAAATTAGTGGCAGTGGCAATGGTATGATCGCGTGGACGTCCAATTGAAATGAAGGTCAAAAGTGCATTTTTCAGATCTCTGCTCACATTGTTTGTGAAAAAATACCTTGTTTATCATACTTTGGGCCCATGATTTAAAGTGTGTGCATTTTCTAGCATGACTATTGTTATAAGAGTTGTGTTTGCTTTACATCTGTGCTGTATAAATCTGAGTCTGAAAATATGTGATGTTGTGTCTCTACAATGCAGTGTGGATGAACGCACATCACCAGGTCATTTTATTACAATGTTTAAATGTGGAATTAGCAGCCAGATGATGGTTAACTGTGTCTTATTATGATGAAGTGATAGTGGTACCCTGCTGCAGCAATATTTCCCAAACCTTTTATCTTTGAATGGGATTTAATATGAAATACCAAATCTACCACAGTGAGTCAATTCTCCTGAACGGTTGCTTTTTTTAATGGAAAGATGACAGAAGCAGAGACATTAGGTGTGATTTGTGCTTAAAAAATATTAGCAATCGTCTCCTTCATTTGGCTGTTCCTTCTTCAGGGGTCTCCACAGCGAGTCACCCACCTCCATCTCTGTCCTCTGCAACCTCTGGCCTCTCTAACTGCATCCATTTATCTCCTCTTTGTCTTGTTCCTGGCAGCTGCATGTCTAACATCCTTCTACCAGTATACCCACTGTCCCTCCTCTGGACATGTCCAAACCATCTCAGTCTGGCCTCTCTAACTTTATCTCCCAGTCGTTCAACCTGTGCTGTACCTCTGATGATCTCATTCCTAATCGTATTCATTTTTGTCACTCCCAAGAACCTCTAAACCTTCAGCTCTGTCACTAACACTGCCACTAATCCAGTTCTTTCTCATATCTTTTTGTCAGTGTCATTGTCTCCAAATCATACAACATAGTTAGAGCTTTTGTTACAAACCACTCGTGAATCCACTCCATCCTGTCTGGTCTCTCTTCTTCACCTCTTTACTCCACCATTCCCTGGACAGTCGACCAGAAGAAGTCCTGCTTCTTTCTGACCTCTGCTCCTTGGAGCCTCACTGCTCCACCGGCCTCCCTCTCATTCACACACATGTAGCCTTGTCTTACTACAGCTGACTTTCATTCCTCTTCTCTTAACTGCATTCCCCCTATAAAATGTATTAGCAATAATACGCCGTATCTGACTGAACTTATTAAGACTATACCATCTGCTGCTATAAAATCTTGATCACTGTAGGTGGTTTTGTGAACTCATTTTCATGCGTGTTACTCATTTTCAGAGCTTTTCAGAGGTAAAATTAAAAAAGTACCTTAAAATTATCTTCAAAGATTATCATTAAAGTTGCAGACTGTCAGCGGGGGCCAATAAGTAACAAGTACCACCTACTGGTGGAAAGTGGTTTGAATCTATAAAATGCCAGCAGCATACCAGCCAAGTCAGGCTCAAACAGTAGAATGGGCACATTCCAGTAAACCCACAGTCATACATTCAATATTTTATTTTTATTAGTTTGATGCTGCTTAGTTGCTCCTTTGTAACTGTGCATCGTGCTTTAAGTGTAAGTTTTTGTTACAATTATGATTTTTGTTTGCATCAGAATTTTTTTTTAAAGCTCCTAATTAAAATATTTTCACAGCGTGGTTGGGCAAGTTTATTTATTCGATGTTCTTTGTTTTTCTTTTCAGTTATATTTAATACTAAGCAATGCTCATCTCTGTGGCGGTGTGCTGGGTGTTATCAAAGTAGCTTATGCTCCCTGCTGACAGTCGATTCACCTGCACAGATCATTATATCCATCAACTTGTAGACAAAATCAGGTTAATGCAATTATTGTTTAGCAGTCATCGTTTCGAAGCCTTCGGTGTTTGCTTGTGTGCCCCTGATTACAAAGAACTATCTTGATGTTTCTATGCATGGGAGTTAAATAAAAACTGCATGTTTCACAACTTCATCTTTTGTTTATTTTTTTAAATATCACATTTTACGGTGCCGCAAATGAGGGTGGCATTACTTTAGCAGGTTTGCAGAAACATCCCATGCTGTTATTTCCCAGGTCACTTTGCAAATCTGAGCACGAGCCATAGCCATTCATCAGCTTGAGATAATGAGAGCACGAGAGGTAGCGAGTGAAGACGCAGCCACCCACAGTTTATTACAGCAAAGACACCAAAGCATGATCCAGCCTGAGAACACCCGGCTCTTGCTCTGCCCTAAGAATGCTTGTGTTAAATAATGTTGTTTTTTTTTAAAAGACACAAGCCTGAGCTGTAAAATGTGTGAGCGTGATTAAAAAATGTGTGCACAGAGGCTCCGGCAAAATGCCTGAATAATTTCTCACAGGCTAAAACTCAGTTTTTGCGGTGCGATGATGCTGTTAATGCCAGTTAGTTTGATTGTTGCAGAGCTGTGTGGTGGTGGTTATTTCCACCGTTTAGGCAGATCACAGTTCAGGCACTTGAAAGCAGCAGGTTCCTCTAAATATGACAGAAACTCATTTGGGAATCTGTTTGCAAGCAGAAAATCCCCCATCTCTGATTCATAACTGTAGAAGCAAAACTATTTTCTGTCTTTTTTTAATAAATGTTGACAGCTGCATGACACAGTCACGCAAAATCTCGCAGATAAATTTATTCCTCCGTCTATCTCCCTGTCTTCTCTCAGATCCGAACGCTTTGGGACAACATGGACCTGACCACGCTTTAATTGGAGGCGTTGTTGCAGTCGTGGTCTTCATCACCTTGTGTTTGATAATAGTTCTCGGACGATATCTGGCTAGACATAAAGGTAAAACTTGTGTTCCTTTTGAATGGGCAGAAAATGCGCTGCACTTTTCAGTTGCTGGATCTTTTATTTGGTTTTGGATCTCTGCAGGAACGTATCTAACGCACGAGGCTAAAGGAGCAGAAGATGCCCCCGATGCTGACACGGCTATCATCAATGCTGAGGGCAACCATGTGCATGCAGAGGAAAAGAAAGAGTACTTCATTTAGACCTCTTGCCCTTCCTTCTTCGTTTCAACGTTCAACAAAAGACATGCAATTTTAAGCTGCCTCAGCATCGAAACATGATCCAATTTATTTCAGTTGTTTTTCACTTTGTTTTTAGAAAGCCCGTGCTTGGATAGGTTTGTTTTCGCCAACTAAATCTCTTTTTTCTTTTTTCTTTTTTTAACAATACGAACCCACGGCTGGATTAGTTTTCTGTTTTCTGGTGCCTAAATACTGAACGTCTTGCTGCATCGTTTGTTTGTTTTTGTTTTGATTTTGACCTGACTCTCTTTAAGCTGTTTGTTGCAAAGTATGAAATCAAACATAAAAAAAGGTTAGCCTGAAATATATCAGATGGTGCAGTTTAGAAGGAGTTTTTCCCAGATGTATTGAATGTTATTCTGAAGCGCAGGTCTGCACTCAGTGTTAACAACACACTCCGCTCAAAACGCCGAACGTCACATGGAAGCTTGAGTCACATGGTTGACCTACATTAAGCTGACCGTAGTCTGTGTAGGTAAATGAACACGATAGTTGACATTTGGTCACAGATTTTGCTGACATTTTGTTTAGATATTACGACAGAGATATAGAGCCACGCTAAGAAAAATAAAATTACGTTACGAATGAGAATAAAGTCATAATATCCTGATGCATGCTCAATAACAAGTCATAATATCACGAGAATAAAGTTGTATGAGAATAATGTTGAAATATTATGAGAATAAACATGTAATATTATCAGAACTCTGACACGACAAAGCAGTCTTACAACTGAGGTAAAATGATGAATGTTGACGTCGGTAGTACAATAGCGGGGGCCCAGTGCCCTGTTGCATATGGATTCTTATGATAAATTGAAGTCGTGTGACATTGCAATTAATGGATGCATTGACAGATTTAGTCGTGACAAAATGTGGATGGAGGCATATTTCACAAATAGTGACCCAAAAGTGATTGTGGACTTCTTCATAAACACAGTGACTCACATTGGAGGCTGTCCACAGCAGATGTGAGCCGACCCAGGATGTATAATGAGTTTATACTCATAATACTACGACTTTATTCTCGTAATACTACAAAATTTATTCTCGTAATATTTCGAGTTATTCTCATACGATTTTATTCTCGTAGTATTACGACTTTATTCACGTAATACTACAAATTTATTCTCATAATATTTTGAGTTATTCTCATATGATTTTATCCTCGTAGTATTACGACTTTATTCTCGTAATATTACAAGTTATTCTCATACGATTTTATTCTCGTAATATTACCATACCATACCATACCAATTTATTTATATAGCACTTAAAACAGCAACAAGGCCAACCAAAGTGCTGTACAAAAGAACCAAACATATTACGACTTTATTCTCGTAATACTACAAATTTATTCTCGTAATAT